TAAGAAAATGATATCTCGCTATGCACAAAAGTAATTAAAAATACGGCATCATTGAAAATATGACGTACAAATACGGAATCATAGTAAATACGTACGGGATCATCGTACGGCGATAAATGTAATATTTTAATTAAATATTGAAAGGGTGTGCTAATATTTACAAGATTGCTGATTCTCAAAATATTCAAACCCTACAGCTGTAAACGTACTTCTGAAGCAACTGCATATTACATTGCCATAAAACCTGTGAGGTGGTTTTAATCTTCACTTCAAATAGGTGTAACGTGTTGCCATGAAGTCGCCCATATATGCGATTAATCCCTAAGTTTAGTTTCTTCATAGAAAGCGAATACTGGTTGGCGAAACTTTTGAAATCTTCGTTTGAATTCACATTTATATAAATTACGGAAAACAATTTGCCTCGTGATTTCAATATTGCATTGAAGGCGTCCAAGTTCAATGTACAAAAGTCTATTGCAATGTGTAACTTTGTACTTTTACACAAAAATAAAACTTACTGTCATATACCAAAAGTGACCCTGCTTGGATTTTGCGTCCAGTTTTACCAGCTTCCTCCACATTACCACGGGATATTACTACGTGTGCTATCACAATGCACACAATCCAAATATTCATTGTGCTCGCTTGATAACCTGCAAATAATTTGATACCGGATATCAGCAAGTGTGTTTTTACGCTAACATTATGTTTTAAATCGTTTGGAACATTTATTTGACTATTATCAGCCCAGCAATGCGATGCGTCATTTGTATATAGGAATATTAGGCGTATTTTTTCTATTATTTCCAGCTTATAAAAAAAATAATACTTTAATGTTTTTATTAGCCTCCTAGATTAATAAGACAGCGAAACTGACTTCAAGATGTTGGCTTTACTTCCATTTCTACTTTTCTTTTTCTAAAATGCTTTCACTACACGATAAGCACCATTTCAAACAAAGTGGGCATATTCTTTCTCGTATTATATAGCACATGAAGTGCCAACCGTTGAAAACGTAATATAAATAAAATCAAACACATCCGATTGTTATCTTACCTTCAGGGCAAAAACTAAAACTAAATAGGCAATTCAGGCGTTTGTGCACAGGCATTTGGTTGTTAGACTCATGAGTATTTCTACAGTAAACGTTCAAAGTAGGGAGTAGCCAGAAAGGGGGGGGGGGGGGATTATGAGGGCCCAACCTTTTTGATGCATAGTCAAACCCCTAAGCATATATATGGAACCCCACCTGACGTCCCTCCTAATTCACAGTGAAAGTCCCAGCGATCCTTCCCTGCTTTCTCCCCCCCCCCCCCCCCCCCCCCCCCGATAAAGGTTCCAGGCTTCGCCACTGAATTTAACGTAATATACTTTAGGGTTTTGGGATTACAAACCGCTATAGTAGAATACAATATAAAGGCGCTGATATTAGGCTTGCATAAAAGGCAAAAGAGACATTTCGGAAAAAAACAACACCAAATATTCAGAATCTAATGATATTACCGTTACGTTCACGATGCGCCGGTCTACGCTTGTGCCTATCAAGAACATACTCGATCGGGGCATTTATATATTTTAGTTGGTTCTGCGTGGGAAGAGGTTTCTAAATTTTGACCTTTCACAAGATTTTGAAACAACGACTTTCTGGGCATCAAGCCTGACATTTGACTTTATCCGTTTTCTGCCATGCGTCAGCAACGTATAAGGCTAACCGAAAATATATTTAAGCGTGACGTTTTATTTTGATCATTGCTAATACTCTGCACTCTGACCTATGCGTATTACCCAAAAAGACTCACATTTAATTTTGCATCTTGCGATATCATGCTTTCCGTATGTCGAGAGGCAAACATAGGCTCAGATCTGCGTCATCGCAAAATACTGTCTGCAAATGTTTCTTTAAAAAAGTTACTGCAGCTTTACATGGGCTATTGCAGAAGGGAGGAAATAATTGTGCAATACATAAAATAAAATGAAACAATACTCAGGTAATAAATTCAAAACATCATTAATAGTCACCAATTTTTGACAAAAATCTATGCAATATAAAATAAATAAACATCACCGTGCTACTACCCGAAACATCGCCGAGCAAGAACAATTTAAACACATCTGTACATGGATGAAAATGTTAAATATTTAGGTGGTAGCATCTTCTTGAGGAAGGTGCTTTTGAAAAATTTAAATACATATTCAATGACGCGAAACGTGATGAATTAATTCAATTGTGCAGGCTTTTCAGGCATCCGGCTTACTACGCGTGGAAAGTGGGGAAAAGTTTAAAGCAGAAATTTTAAAGGTTGAAATATCTGGCACACCGTGGCAAGTAAAACGTACTGCTTTCTGTTTAATAGCTTCAACCTTGTTGATATCAAATGGTTTTAAGGGTCCCAAACGACTTATTAAAGAACTGGTCGTATTAACGTTTGTTACACCTGAAGCTTGAAAATAGTATGAATAGGGAAATGCGCATGTGAATGAGCACCTACAAAATTACCAAAATTACATAAGAACGGTTTTTGAAAATTTATTGACATCTGTCAGGTATTGCATCACCCACAGAAGCTGGCAAATGAATTGTTAAGAGAATTTGACCCCGAGATGATTTGTGATACAAAACACGATCGTCTGTTTATAGGCGTATTTTAGTGGTAATGCTGCGTGCTAAATCATAGATGGAAATAAAAAAAAAAAAGCGCTCCAAGAAGGAGCTTTGCGAACCACTTCATGAAACATTTTCACCCGAAAAATTGAATGAATTGAAAGTTGCACACTGTGAGCGAAGAGAAAGAAAATGATACATTCAGTCGGCCAGACATTATTCTTTAGTATAATGTTGAACTTATGTGAGAGTATAGTTGCCTCTTTGGTTAAAGTATTCTACGATAATATAATTACCAAGATGTTCCCGAGAAGAATAGTGGAAGGTTTCTTTTTGAATAGTTTGATTATGGCACCACAGCCGTTTGACCAGTACCGCAGAAAGAGTAATTAACTATCAACACCGTGGGAATCCAGAGCTATGAACAGAAATGGACATCTTTAGAGGTTTGCTGCTCCAAGCCAATCGCAGCTCGGCATCGTTCTGACGACACCACAACTCCTGCGCAAAAGGCAGACGACATACTCTTTCTTTTCGTTTTAATTTGTCGCGCTTGGCACATGTTTGTGAAAACGTTGCGTTCCACTTTTTGAATGTATAATTTGCCAATACGCTGGGAATTTATCATAAACTCAGAAAGTGGCATGGGCACAAACGTATCAATAAAAACGAAACACTTTTGACGTGTACGCGCCCCAGTAGCACGCCAGAGAAACCCATCAATTGGCCCAAGTTTGGCATTTGTAGGGGTCTTACTTGGGCAATATGGTCTTGTTTCAAGGCGCTAGTTAGTGCCAAGTACTTTGGTTTTTTAATGATATTACTTTGGTTTGTCACATGATCGACAAAGTAACAGGCTTCAACACAAGATGTGTTGAAGCCATGAACCGAACAACCATCAGTGAAGCCTAACTCTGGCCCTTGTCTGGCAATTTTCTCCCAAAAGGGCCACATAAAAGTCAAACAGCCTGAATCGAGGCCGAGATTTGGCACTTGTTTGTCGATTTATGCACAAGGATGCCAGATGACAGTGAAACTACCAAGCAGTGCTGTTTAATTTTCGCACATGTATGACGATTTAGTGCCAAGATACCCCCAAGACTAAGGCCAAAGGAGGTCAAGTTTCGTTCTACCTTGGTCTTTTCGATGTTATCAAAACCTTAAATTCCTAGACAAATAAAAATTTGGGTCAAATAAATGGGCTATCCGACCACCAAATCTCTGCGAACTTCTGCTCGTTCCGTGTGTGTTTCTCGCCACTGAATACAACTGATAAGATCAAGCACTGCACCTATATTTATCTGTTTACACATTCGTCAAACAATGACCGTAAGAAACTTAATGATAGGATATTGGAAGTAGTATATTAATACATTAAGCTGCAGGACATTAGAGACTGAATATTTGTTGAGAAATATATGGGTAAAGCACTGGGCAAGCAATTTCTACCGTACGAACTAAAGTAATAACTTCTTTTAGGGGAAATGAATTGGTAATAATAATTTGTTTATGTAGTAATTGCAATTTATAATATTTTTTCAAATAACGAGCACAAGTCTACAGGCTGCAAGCCCTTGGTCTGTGAGCAAGTTAGGGTGCACACAACAATTGCTACTCTTATAAATATTGTTTGATATTTTATATCAATTTCTTGTGGAAAATATCGAGTCCTTTCTCACTCTTTTTTGTGTGTTAATCTTAGCCCATTCATTAGTGCGCTCGCATATGTTACAGCCACTTAGGTAATTATAATTTCATTTGTACACCACGCCACAGATCCAAAGGCCGCATCTCGTATATAAACTGTTAATATAATTATTACTATTATTTTTATTCTTAATGCCGTGCTTCTAGTGGGGTGCTGGCGTCAGTTTGCATACCGTTTTATTCTTTGTTAGTAGTTATATGTGTCTTAACTTGGATAACAGCCAAAGGTTCACATTTTACTCTTCCCTTTTAGTAAATGCAAAAACTGACGTGTCAGGGGTTATAGACTGGAGCTGAAAGCAAAGGTTGTTTGTAAAACGAACAAGATAAAAAAGTACAAAACGTTTCGTCAACCAAACATAATAGTTCCTTCGAAAGGTGTTTTTCCGGACGCTCTGTAAAGATGACTACGTGTAGCGAGGACTGAAGTGTGCTTAGACCTCCGAACGTAAGCCTGTAAGGTTATTTGATAAATTCAGGTCAGCAGTCAATGACCCCGATCCTTCTTTCGGCTCCCAAATGTTATTTAGAGATTTTTTTTATTTATTAAAGGTGTTTATTAAAGGTGTATCAAAGGTCGCATCAGTGTTTAACGCTCTCTTATTAGTTTTTTTTTGTGCTTTATGAAATATTTTAAGCTGGTAAAACTCTCCTATATAAATTGCCCGATCGTTCCACCGCATTCGCACACACAAACTTGCTGGTTCAAGGAGAGATCAAATCCGGTAAGAGTTTTCTACGTAAAAGTTACTGAGATGTGTATTTTTAGCTGTAGTGGAACTTTTACCAACGATAATGTGCAAATCTCTTCCTCTGCTTAAAACCTACCAAACACAGTTACACAGCACCTACGAGTGTCACATTGCTACCTGTCAAGTTGCGCTGTGGGTCTACATGCATGAATATTTCTTTACGTTAGTATCGACCACTCACTGCTTGTAAACAAGCCCGCGTTTGCCCACACCGGGTGGGTGCATTGCGCGTGCTCAGAAACCAGATTCCGGTGAGGGGAAGCATACGCGCATGCGCAGATCGGACAGCAGCGCAGCCACAGTGGCGTGACGTCGGAGAGTTCAGTTGTGAATACGCCGTGATCCTGTGTTTTTTTTTTTTTTTTTTTTTTTTGTTGGCGTGATTGGTCTGTCCCGTGCACCAAGGTGACGAGCGCCGTGACGATGCACTTTTTGCGCAGCTTGATTGGCTCTATCGGACTTTAGCGTCGCTTGTACTCAGAGTTAATCTGAAACGGGGTGTACGATGATTGCAATCAGAAAATGTACAAGCACAGATTGCATAACTGAGCAGAAATGATCAACCATACCTTTTGGGGTCCCGGTCTTTAAAGTGATACCGAGTTATATAAATCTTAAACGTATGCGAATAAATGCAGCATGGACGTAATTCTTCTGAAAGGATGATCTACAGGGTGTCTCCCCAAATTGCGTCCAGGCTCTTCAAATCGCCCGCAAAAATCGGTTTCTTTACCTATCGCGCTACGATTTTGAGCATTGTTGCCCAGATGTGGTGAATTTTTTGTACACAATTTAGAATGAGCGAACTTCCCTGCAAAGCAAATTGTTGTGTGTATGTTTATACAGCCGGAAGTTATAGTCTGCCTCATCGGGCGTCTAGTGTCTCAGCTGCAGATGAGCAGCTAGCCAGTGCGGTACAACCCCTGGCCTGGGTCTTTAACGTGCGCCTCGCACTAGTCAAACACGACCGCACGCCTGTACGATGCTCATCCAGATTGGAACGGGCAGGGGTGGGAATCGAACCTAGGATCCTGGGTTCTGCAGCGCGAGCTTTCGCTCCACGTGCTCCGAGCTGGTGTGCGCTAGCCCACTCGGCCACCGATCCTCCAAATTACACGAGGAAAAAGTAAAAAAAAAAAGAAAAAAAAAAATGTAAAAGGCTTAACTGCTATTGAAAAGCAGCGAAGCCACCGGTCTTCAAACACTACGGTGCCGTTTCGCACGGTGCCGTTTCGCACGGACGGATGGCGCAAGCGGTCACCACCCCAACTGCCGCCAACGAACGAGCATACGGCGCCGAGAGCCGGCGTCATTAGCAGACGATCGTTTCGACTCAAAAGCGGCGCGCGTTCCGCAGGCGACGACAGTCGCAGAACCAAAAACAGACGCGGTAAAAACAAGGAACTGCAAAGCCGACAACACAAATATCCCCCCCACCAAAAAAAAACAACAAAAAAACAAGATAAAATAATTTGACACAACATTGTTTTAATCGATTATGTGTCCATTGAATGTGTTTTATTAGTAAGGACGATAAAATCATGCATTAGCACCTGACATCGAAAAAGCTCGCACCGCGTTTGTGTCGAAAAGATCGTCTGCTAATAGAGTTTTCGTAGACCGCGTTTCCCCCTCCGCTAAGCCCTTCGCAAAGAAGAACCCGCTACTGCGCCTGCGCGCCGATGGCCTTGACTGTAGAGTTCTGGGTATCGTAGCGGGTTGCGGAGGGCCTTGCGCGACGGCGAAAATGATCTACGAAAACTTTCTAATGACGCCGTCTTTCGGCGCCGTATGTACATTCGTTGGCGGCAGTTGGCGTCGCGACCGCTTGCGCCATCACTTGTCTACCGTGCCAAACGGTGCCGTGTTGTTTGAAGACCGGTGGCTTCGCTGCGTTTCCATACGAGTTCAGCCTTTTTTTTCCTTTACTTTTTCCTCAGGTAAGTTCACTCTTTTAAAATTTTATAGAAAAAATGCACCACCTGTGGGCAACGCTGCACAAGATCGTAGCGCCATAGGTTAAGAAACCGATTTCTTAGGTCGATTTAAAAAGCCTGCCCGCTATCTGAGACATCCGTAGATATGATGGATTAGGGAAACATAAAGATGATACTTATTTTTTTGTGACGAGTGCGCCCATATGAAATTGAACAATGTTTTTGATTATCAGCGAACAGAATTTGCAAAATACTTAATCTTTTCGGCCAAGGAGTGAACGGCGACGGGACTGATGAAATGCGCGCACCACTAAAACTATATAGGTAGGGAACACATTATGGCTGTACCAGTGTAAGGCAGGGGAAGGTGCGGTGAAGCTGGGCTGCGATAATTAATGAGCTAAATTTAGTCGTTAGGTTTATAACCAATAATTCGTTCCTAACCTTTCGACCCACCGGATAAAAATATGTATGTGCCCGTAGAACCCATCACCTGTAATATGCAAAAAAAAAAAAAACTGCATCGCACATAAAGTAATTGTTGCAACAGCGCCTTTTGGTGAAAGACATTACTGATCGTGATAAAACGTGGACTGTTTCTATAGCAGGAATGAAGACAATTGTGCTGTGGGCTGTGATCGCTTTGGGAGGTGTGTCAAGAATGAGCACGGCTGCTCATCAAAATCACCCCTATGGAGTTTCATTTGAAAACGGTAGTACACATTTTGACTTCTGTTTCAACTCTAACTAGTGTGAGTTGATGCATTTAACTATAAGTATAATACACAGTTACAACAGATTTAAACTATTCGTCACAGGCAAGTTTCTTAAAGCTCATAGGCAACTGTAATAAATTTTGAAAATAACTCTCACCAGGGCTGAAAACAGTGTGTGGTACGTCCACTTTCTCCTTTCTTAGATCACCCCCCCCCCCCCCCCTTCTTCTTTATGTCATGAGTTTGCTTTCTTCCTATCTGTAAAGAGAGCTCGCGAAGTCCTATGGGTTTTATATTATTCTGCCCTGTTTTCATTTGCTACGAAATATTAGGTCTTGTAGAATACTGAGGTTGCTGTTGCGCGTGCCTTCAAGCGGGTGTTAGTGAGACGAAAAGCAGATTCTTTTTAGAACGCATAAAGAATATGGTTTTCTCTTGAGTAGGGCCACGGCCGCTTGATCCCGGTTCCGCACAGCAGAGAACGGCCTGCCGAGTGGATCTTTTTGCCGGGGGAAAGTTCTCTAGGCTGCCGCAGTGAACGATATTTAACCTTGTGGTGGCTAATAGAGGTTACAGTAGCTGGCGGTCAAAGAGCGGAAGCAGCGCGATGCCCGAGCAATGCAAAACCATCGCTCGCGTCCGCTATTCTGCGCCTTTAGCGACGAGCTCAGGAAACTTAGCAGAATCGCCATTTATATGCATATCTTGGCGAAGCGACTAAAGGTCATCGCGAAGTTGCAATGATCAGGCGGCCACGGTAGGGTCATCAGTGAGCGCGACAGATGATGGGTAAATCAGTAAAAAAGGAAAGCTCTATACAACTCCCCGTAACGCTGAGTTAGAGCACAGCTCTTGAGGACGAGGAGGGAAGGGTACTGAGGGGTGGGTATACCCCTCCTCCCTTCTCCTCACCTTCGCATCCTGTCTGCTACTCCTCCCCCCGAGCGGCGTCGCCGTCGCCTCCCGAAGGTCACGTAACCTCACGTGACTTCTGTGAGGTCACGTGACAATGACGATGACGTCATCGTCATGACGTCACTGATGACGTCATCGGCGTCGGCATCGTCATTGTGATTGATAACGTCATCAGTGACGTCATCAGTGACGTCACGCGTCCCATAAGGCCCGCTTCAGACGAGGCAATTTCGCCCAGCAACTTGACGCCGCAACACCAGCAACACGAGCCGCCACGTTCACACGCAGCAACCGAATAGCTAACACTTGCCATCATCATCATGAAATTATATTTGTCTTGCACTATTTAGACGCACAGCTACGCGCTAAAAATGTGTTTTTGTATCTTTGGATGGCGTTGAAAATACTAACTCATCTTTCTGAAAAGATTTATTTCCAAAAACGATCCATTTCAAACCAGAACCAAGTCTTTAGTTGTCATCATCACCACCACAGGGGTGTCACGTGAAAATATCGCGTCCCTGGTTGGCTGCTGCCGCTTCAAACGTCTCCGAGTTCGAGTTGCTCGTCCATTTCGATCCGGACCCGATCTCAGCAATTTGTGCCGATCTAGGGAAAGCTAGGGAACAACCCGCCAGCAACCTCAAAATTGTTGGAAAAGTTGCCCCGTCTGAAGGGGGCCTAATGCACCGCGCGGTTACGCCGACGGCGACGCCACTCAAGCCGGAAACGGGCGCCTAAAAGCTGCGCTCTAAAATAACGAACTACCTGTGTTTCAGGAATGGTTTTCGTACCTTTGGCTACACATCCGAAAAGCTGTGATTATTCGGAAGACAAAAACGCTGAATACTTGAATATATATAGGGTGTTTCAGAGAACGCAGGCCAAATCGCTCCTGCGAAAACTACTCATCGCAACGAAAAAGGGCTTGTGGCCTTTTGGTCCTGGGCCAGGGGCCCATTTAGGAAAATTATTAAAGTCCGGGATAATTAAGTTGTTTATTATTTTTGCGCAATTAACTTTTTTTAATATTGTGTTTAAGGGCATGGTTTAATTAGAAAACTGCCCAGCATCATCGAAAAACACTAAATCAACAAATTGCAGAACGATAGAAGGCACGCGAAACATTTTACGCCTTTCTGAAAAACCGCACAAAATTGACGGGTTTTTAAGTCCCGGTTTGCTATCGGAGCGCATCTCAGCCCCGGCGGCACCGCGCCCCGTGGAGAGATAGTGCAACGCAGCCTCTGCTGCGTCGCTCGATGACAGCGAAGCAGAGGTTAGTTGCACTAACACGCTAACAATGACCCCGTAACGAGGCCAGAAAGAAGCAGCTAAAAATAGAGGACGCAAAAGAAGAAGCCCATAAAGTGAAGGGGACAGCATAAGCGTTTCTTAAAGGCGGACGTGTGTAGCGCTTCCAAGGGTCGTGCTATAACCCATTTCATAAGAATCCACGAATGGGTATTTTTGATTTTCATTGTTTGCGAAACCGTTTTCTCGTTTGCTCTGGGGTCACGCCATTTGTTAAGTGTAGTCATGGCTTGGCCCCGCGGTGGTAGGAAGCAGCAGAAACAGTGATTCTGCGAGGAATTCTGCATTGTTCTTTGAGGGCTCGGTGGATGTTTGTGTTGACCACCACCCGATCACAAGCTGGGAATCCACCATGTGGCACCGGTCAGGTTTAAACTGATCCGGGATTAAGAGATCGATGATGTGTTGATCACCAACTTTATACAAGCAATTAAATGTGCGTAGTTGGTAAAAAAAAAATATGATACTAAATGCATCGCCGAAAAGATCATAATTTCGAATTTCCCATTGGTCATGATCGCCGCCAACAAACGCCAATGAGCGACAACAGCGCCATCCAACCACGGGCACGAAACTTCACAGCCTCGTCTCTGGTTCAGTCTAGGTTAAGAAAAAGGGGTGACAAAACGCCGCTAATCGACATAACGAAAAAATAACAACAAAAATAAACAAAAAAAACATAAAAAAACACGAGGTGCACATTCTGTATACATCGACCGTATACACCTGGGTGCTTAGTTTTTATCCGAAGAGATTTTTAATATAGGGGATTAAAGCTAGACGAATTTTGTCTGCACAGTGTATATATAAGGCACGGATGAGGAGATAATCGTAACGGTGAGTTGACTAATTATCTAAGACCTCTTAATTACTGGTTTTAGGGATTATGTTGGAATTGCAGTATTGATGGCCATTACCATCAGAGGCCAGACCAATTGCAAAAAGTTGCGATAAGTTATTGGTGTTTCTAGTTATTAACCGATCAAATTTCGTGTTTTTTCGTCCCACTTAAAGAATTAAAAGACTGAATATGTCGTTTCAATCATGTCGTCACCGTATTTCAGCAATGTGTCCTAGGTGAATGCGCCGCAACAAAGGTGACCACGTTACCTAAACGACTACGTCACTATTTCAAGCGTCATTGTGGACAGGGCTTGATGCACTCTTTAGTCGCGCAAGATATATTTAATTGAGGGAAAATAGACGAAAATTGATGGATTAATACCGAAAAAGCATGACCTTTTCGGAAAATATTGAAGTTGGTCTGGCGTCTAGCAGTAATTCGTGTCAATACTTAACCAATATTTAAAATGTTAATGAACAAATTTCAGTAAATTAGTCAACTTAGCACGATGGTTATCGCCTCACCTAATGTTCGCCGAGCCTGATACATAGATGGTGAAGACGGAACTCATGTAAATCTCACCCCTTGATAAAAAATAAATGTGTTCTAAATAAAATCAAGCACCAAGTATATTTGCCACGTGATACCTTTTTTGTTGCACTTTAAACTGTATTTTGTTTTCTCGTAAACTACGGTGCAACTTGAACGGGTGTTTTACAAATGAAATCTTCTGGACATCAGAATATTTTAACACCTGCAAACATCTTGAGAGTTTCTCGAGTTTTTTTTTTAATATTTTATTGTCATCAATTTCGCAGGTACTTGCACATACCGAAATATAACGCTCAAGGATGGAGACTCTGATAACTTTCAATATCCATGTGAACTTTGGACTTGCAATGCTACTGCAAAAACACTAACTGTTGAAGGGTTTGTATTTTTTAGCAACACATTATGCACAAATCTCATAATGCAAAACTTCGTTTGTTAATTCATTAACATTTTTTAATGGATGCCCAATTTTCAGATATTTAATTAGACAGTTAGTTGAGATAACTGCAACGTAATATTGAATGAATAACTGCCGAGAGCAGATGAACCCGTATGCATTAAACATGAACCAAAAGTTTACAAAAAATTCGCAAAAAGAAACGTTTACGTTGCCATATAACGATTGTTCTTGTAGAATACTGAAACCGTCGAGTCGTCAATATATTTTTGGTGCCATACGCAAAAAAAATGCTTTTCAAGCTATGCTGAAAACAACACGAAATAAAGCATTGTTATCGGTGAACAGATTTTTCAAAGCACCATGGAATTATGCTTATGAAACAGTTTAGACGAAAGAAATAAGGCGTTTCCGCATTTTTTGTGTATTATTCATTTACCCATGTAACAGCAATATAATGATGCATAGCTGTACATTACTCAGGTATAGACGAAATACGTAAACCATTGCAATATAATATACCAATAACAGTCGACTAATATGAATGATTATATTTTAAATGCTGCAAAGTTACTCGTAGTTATTTTCAGCAACAAAGAAAGTTGACATGTCTCTCAATTAGGAAACAAGCGTCAATACTACCAATTGATCTTCGGTTCAATAACTTACTTTATCATGAATCATACAAAAAGATCTTGCACAAGTTCTGAAACTTGTAAGATAACAACACCATTAATTTAATTTTGATACTTATTTACCAGTTTCTTCAATACAACTAACATATATATATCCGGCATAGATATCTTACTGATTCACTCGTTCCTGGTGTTCAATTACTCCATCAAATTATGAATTTTGTTAACATACTCGATTATATTGAGAAAATGGTTCGTTATGGTAGCAATACAATATAAAAAAATCTAGTGTATCAAAAGAAAATACATTATCTTAAAAAGAACTACATCGGTACCACAACAAAGTATAGTAGGCAACGAAGCCGGTGAACTTCTAATATATCCTAACTCAGCGGCTTCAAGAAAATTTCTACTTAATTTAATTCTTTCAGGTGCGGTGTGGCACGATACGGAAGCTGCCGGTACGTGCACCATCCTAGATTCTACTGGCCGCATTGCTGTCGCATGAGTCGTGTCTGCTAAAACAAATAACGGAAATTACTTTGACTTCCGTGAAAACAATTTTTTTGTCAATAAAGACACGATATTAAATGTGCCTCTCTACGTTTCTTTAATGTATATGTTGGATGAATTAAAGAGAACGTCACATTTAATTTAAAAATGCGTCAAGTGGTACAATAGATGTGGCATCTTTTGTCGTCACGCTTCGTACAAGCTAACATCAATTTACGTTTTTACAGATTACAAGAGTTCTTCAAGTTTGAGGGGATTTGTTTTGTTTAGCGTGATAAAACTTACGGAGGACGTTCGCGCAATTCTTATAGAATATTCTACACGTACAATGACACATTTGACTAATAAGAAGCAGTTCCATCAATTAGGGCGACCACCAATAATACGTTTGTAGCTGTGAAACAGCTGTGAATAATCGAATTTCTGGCGAAAGATCAAGTTAAACCTGCTAAAACATTCAAAAGATTGCATGTACAGTGTAGGGAAAATACTATGTCACGGACAAGACTGTTCTAATGGTGCCAAGGGTTTGGTGAAGGACGACAGCCAGTGACAAATAAACCGCGTAGACACAATCGACCGAGTGCAGCCGCGTAGCCTACTTATTTGTACGCCACACCAGTCAGAGAGCTGCTAAAACAATAGCAGTGGTGCCTGGACGTGCCCGGGTAATATCTAAAAATAAAAAGAAAGGTACATAGTTTGATGCTTGTCGGATTTTCTATTTGCTGCGCAGGAGCAAAATTTCCGATCAACCATGAACGACCCTTCCAAACGTGCTATGAGTGTCGCGCTTGGTATACTTGGATCTTTGTCATCTGACCCTCTCAGGGGCATTCTCAATTGTGAGCAAGAAGTGCACTGAGCCGCAAGGCTGTTTTGAGAGATTCAGGAAAAAGAAAAGTGGACGTCTGCAGTGTGCGCGCTATTGAATGCCTAGGTAGCACAGCCCTTTGGGCCAAAAGTTTGGTTTTAGGCGGAAATTTTATGGACTTAAAATCCACAAGTAGCCAAGGTAAATCAAAACCTGACATTTGTTTGACCATAGTATGGGCATATCTTTTTCTAATTCGCCAAGAAAGCGCCCGAGTTAGTTCGGTTTTGTGGGGCGACTTTGGGTCTAAAGTTCTAAATAAGTGACAAATTTAGGCTCCTTTGCTGGTTTGTAGGCTTCATTATAAGAATAATAGTTTAATTACAATGGAAGTATGGTGGGAGCTGAAGACAAAACACTGTCTGAGCAGCTTGACTGGTTCTCAGCATTCCCCAAGTACAAAGCAGGGTAACAAAAGTAAAAGTAAAAAAAAAAAACAATAAATTGTCAATATAAGGTACTTCCCTAACAAAAACAAAAACCACGAAGAAAGAAATTGGCAACAGTGACTTTCGCATACAGTTAGGCAAATTAAGTAAAAAGCTGAAGAAAACGCAAAAATAAACTAAAATATTTTAACATATCTCAGTAGCACACATAAAATTTTTATTTTTTTTATAATTTCGTACAGTGCGCGAAGTTCAGTGTACCTTCAAGTGTACGTCTGAAAATTACCAAGTTCATTTGATAAAGATGGCAATAAATACCACAGGCGTTTTTGGAGTTTAGTCGAGTTCTATAGGTGCTATCAAGTTTTCTCTGTCTTGTAGAATGTCTAAAGCTTCTTTAATTGCAATTGTGCCAGATTACGTTGTGGTGATCTGTCCTACTGCTCACCCACCAGAAAGACACGCAAGGCAAGACATAAGAAAAACGCCCCTTTACTGGTTATCGGCCAGGCTTCGAGTGCCCGTCATCGAGGCTCTTGTGCGCCACGAACGCGATCGTTACAGACCTCGAGATTGAGCTCGCGGTCTTGTTTGTTATCCCGTGCCAGTGGCACGGTCCTGCAAGTCACTGCGGCGTGTCACTGCGCGCCTTGTTTGTCACTCGCCACATCCTCCCTCCCTCCTTCCTTCCTCCCCCCCTCCCCCCGTCTCCCGGGTTCGGAATAAGCCTATTGCTAAATTACCCAAGCGTCAAGGAGAAAGCAGGGACTGCTTTTGATTATTTTGCATCATCATTTTTCCGTGAACTACTAGATCAGAAATCTCACGGCCAAAATTGGTGACCGACGTTTTCCTAAGGTAACGTTGAAAGCTGGGTAAAATAATTATAATTTAAAAAAAAAAAGTGCGAAGACGGATGAAGGTAGAGTAGACGCACACAGACAGAGTTTTCCTAAGGGTTGTACCTTGGTCTACCCAAGGTACTAGTGGTTATTGACAGCTTAAGAAACGTGGGGCGTGGCTCACTATACTAATTCACCCTTCTTGCCTCGTGATTGGTTTCTTGAGATTCTTGACGGCAAATGTCGCATTCTTATTAATTTCCGAGCGATAATCAGATGCATATGCTTGGGACTTGCCACGTCCTAGATTTCTTAAGCTCTCAGTGTATTTTTTTAAATATATTTTTTGTGTTCTTCCTATTAGTTTCTGGTACTTTCACGGTCTGTTGAAAATAAACCAAATACAAATCAATTACTGCTGCCGTAAGGTAGAACAGTAGACAACATAAGCGAAAGTTCCCCATTCTTTGATATAGTGCATCTACAAGGGTGCTGAAGCTTGTCCAAATGAAACAGCGACGTCGGTAAGTTTAACTCACCGAGGGCGACATCGTTTCCACAAAATAATTGTATTTTTCTGCTTGAAACTGTCAAGAGAGTATCATCGTAGGCGGCTTTAAATGGACAGCGGTAAACAAGGAAAGCCATAGGGGTGGTACGTGCCGCAGAGTCTTTGAACATTTACGGGCCCACCTGTGCATTAAACCGGATGAATACGCGCCGGTTGCATTTGCATCAGATGCTTGCAAGACACCGATAAACAGCGGTGGGTTCACATGAGGTATGAAGTGTACTTTTTTTGTTATATTTAAAAATAGTAATCACCAACTTTCAATTCAGAAAAAAAAAGTATTTGGGACAACGCTAGAGAGCGTAGCAGATGTCGGTTTACGATTGCAATGAGCGAACGTGTTCCTCTAAACAGCAAGAGCCCCAGAAGCTTAAGCACCTCCAACCTCACTTTAAGGTTCTTGTCTGCTTTGATAGAATAAAATACCAGACAATTTAAGTAACTCACGGTGTGGCGAGTCTCGACAATCTTATTTTCGCTTCGCAGCCGATGAGATTAGGCATTAGCCATTAAACACGTAGATTGATCTCGTATCGCACTGCGCCTAAAGGTTACATTTAGCGATGCACTGCGTGGTTAACCTTGTCCCTTAAGGCCACGGTCCCACTGAATGTGGCAGTTTAGGTACTTTTTGGCAGGTCATTACTCATCTCCTTTAAAATACTGTTTTGTGGGATTGATGTCATTCAAAAGGCAATGCAATCCTCTTTCATTTGATATTATGTATGTGTTGGTTTTTACTGTTCATGCGCGTTTGTAGCGGTGCGAATATGATGGCGTGGACCCTCACTTGCTCCGCTAGTTCATGTTTTATAAACGATCCATTAAAGATAGCACGGTTCCAATATAGCAGTTTTGTTAAGATGATGTCGGAGCAGAATGTAACGATACACTTTTTTTGGTATTTGCACTACTTTGTTTTTTTCATCCCTCCAAATATTGCCCTAAAATTGACATTTTCAGCACGAATATGTTTTTAATGACAAGCGCTAGGGCAATGAAATTAGCTACAGATGTAGTGCTTATAATTGGTAACATACAGAAAAAAAATTTAATGTTGTGTAAAATATTTTTGTTTAGATATTTTATATCAAACGTAGCACTTTTTTGTGCTTCGAGTCATGGTACTTCAAATGCCGCTGAGGAAATAATTAAACTATGATAAAATCTTTTACAACATTTAGAGCTACAATGGTTGCCCAAGAGGTGGACGATGGCTTTTTTTCTTTTTCAAAGTCATAACGCTCCAGGAGCCCTTCAAACTTACCTGTTTTTGACGCATATCTTTTTTGGACATCAAACAGATTTATTGACATCCAATAACATTTATTGTTTGGAATAGATATACACTGCGATGTATTAAGTTTTCACAATGATCTTGCTTTGGTTTCTTAATAGGTGTAGATCTTAGCTAATTTTAAGAACAATTAAAAAGTGTTTGGGTGTTTTGTTGCGCTACTCGGCGGATGGGAGACAAACTGCTGATTTCTAGTGTTCAAAAAATTTCCGAGGGCGGCGTTGGCGTCTGTATCATCATCAATCTCCGTGTCTTTTTACCTTCACATTTAAAAAATATATTGGAAGATTTACTATCGATAAATGAATGGTTTAAGTATTGGGTCAGGTTAATAAATCTAAGACAAATAATTACACACGCGTAGCGTGATATGATGTGTTCATTATTCGATATGATTGAAATCAATAAGCAATAAAGACGAAGAGGAAAATAATACACCCGAGTTCACTTCATGCCTAGAGTCACTAAATGAGCTTTAAAGTATCGGCACTCCGTTCCTCAAAATCGTTTTGGGCGCCGCCATTTTGGGTCTTGTCCAGAGCAAACGCAACTGCCGATCGTCATGATCCAAAAGTACGACTTTCTCAGCATTAGATGCCGTGCTAGGAAGCTGATGCAATATTGCAATGCTCTGTCGCAGGTTGTTTAAACATTTGTGGGGGACGGAAAAGCGTTTCCTGTGATTTTAGAAAAAAACTTCAGGTAACTGGCAACCATGATTTTAAGCCACAATATGGCAAAGTGTCGTTACTCTGAACCGTAGCTAATTTACTGGCACAAGCGGGAACAATGAGGAAGAGGCAGGTGTCAAAAGGTAGTGGCATGTGGAATCCACGGGGCTTACGTCATGGCCCCTCCAGGTATTACAAGCCTCTTGAACAAGAGCATGAATAGTGTCATTAAATAAGCTACGCGTCAGAGTAGCGATACTTGGCCACATTGTGGCTTAAAATCATGGTTGCCAGTTATTTGAAGCTTTATCTGAAATCACAAAAACGCTTTTCCGTCCTCCACTTTAAACAGTGTGCGACAAAGCAAAGCAACATTACATGAGCTTCCTAACACCGAATCTAATGCTGAGGATGTCGCACTTTTGAATCATGAC